CACGTTTTGTACATGTTTTTGATATATAACATTTTTAATTTTTTTTTGTATTTTCAATATTGAAATTTCAATGTAGAATTTTTTTGGTAAAAAATTGAAAAAATTAAAAAAATCTTGGTAATTCGTACATGTTTTTAGGATAATTTAATTTTTAAATTTTCAACTTCCATTTCGGGGTGTCATAGACTTCAAACCTCGGATATTTTTTAAACGCATAGATATTTTTTGGTAAAACTTCACTAGTTTACTCTCATAAAATAATAAGTGTACAAAAAGTTATGGGTCTAGCTATTTCCAAAATATATCAAATATTTCTTCAAAGAAGTGTCGAATTGTATGAATTTGTATGAAAAATATTTGTTTGGTGTCAAACTTTCTGACGGCAATGTACAATACGTGAGTGATCAAATATTCCCTTGCCTTGAATAGGTTTACTGTAGTCGGTAGTGGCTTTATATCGTATACATTGCTTATAGTTTTGTAGTGAGTTTGTTGTTCCACTAACAATTTCCGCCGATATGGAAACTGTTGAATACTTTCATGGTTACAATACATTGGGCGTTGGTCCATTAACCAAGTCGACTTTCATTAAATTGTAATCATTGAAGTGAATTTGTTCTTTCCAAGTGCAAAATGTCGGATATAGAATTTATTTACGATGACGAAGATCATGTTAAGGCCATTCACTGTAAGCCATTTAAAAAAAAAATTTTGATTAAAAAAAATGATTTTCTATGTACTAGCCATTTTAGTGGGCCGATAAACGGTGAATTCGCCAATAACAAGGCTGAAATTTAAGCTGAAACTTCGTGATTTGGATATGTTCAATATAAATGTAGCCACTGAGAGTCAATTCTTACTGAATGTTGTTAACGATTGGTTACCACGTGTTGAATTTTTATTTTTGACTGCAGCAAATTCTATAATATTATTCAGAAAACTGCATTATTATTGGTGCGATGAAGTCTTTTTAACTGAGCATTTAAATATAAGCCATTTTTTGTACTGATTTTATTATTTTGTTTGCGATTACAAATAACATGGCTAAAACATATTCTGTATATTACCATTGGTTGATAAAATAAACGAATTTAATCATTTTGCTATAAAAAAAATTTGTTTTTTTCATTCATCTGACGAATTTGGATTTTGCATCACCCAGCAAATTAAAATTGTTGAACCGAATGGATTTTTCTTGAATCGTATCTGTCACAGGCACCGCAGAATCACCCAATCTATAACTTTTTAGGTGCCGCACCTGAATACAAGAAAGAGCGACACTTATTTTCATGATCAAAATATAAATTTGTATGTATTATTTCAACTTAAAAAAACCCTAAACTCTCTTCACACGCCTGAATTTATACTTGAAAAAGCGACTGGAAGTTCGATGGCAAATCGTATCTAAATGAGAATACTATACGACACTTGCTGGAATAAAGGTTTGAGATGTATGTTATTTTTCCAAATTTTCAAGGTCGCATATTATTATTATCTATTTTAATTTGAACGTGAAAATAAAAATGTTATAAAATATGCGTTGAGTCTTAAAAATATCGAGCCACTCAATAGCTATTTGTTAATTACAACAACCTTAAGTCAATAATAATTTGAAAACGTTAAATAACACGTTTCAAAATGATCATTCATTTTCATCTGAATCGTTGATAGCTTCAAACATCGAAAAGAATGAAATTCTTCTCGGCCTTGCTTTGACATTGATTCTTTTTGGGAGAGTTGTGAGTACCGTTTTTTTTATTTAAAAATTTAGATAATTCCATGTGAAGTTGCGGGTAGAGATGAAGAACGTGCTGAAAAGGCATCGGTGATTGATATCAATGCATATTTGACAGCCTGATAGTAAAACCAACACTTAATTTTCTTATGCGTAAAAATAGCACGTGTTTTTGTTTGGAGTAAAACAATACCACATATCATAATCGATAGCAAAAATTCAACACACAAAGTTGAGAGCAAAACCACGACATACGCAACATCAGAGCAAAAGTGAATAAGCGATATGTCGTGTTTTTGCTCTCAAGTTTGTCTATAGTTCTTTTGCCCGCAACAATCGGAGTTTTTTTTTAAGCCGAAAAAATGGATTTTTTTATGAGCGAGGCGGACCATATATATCGTAGCTACGATCATGTAGATGATAAAAAATCGCGAAAAATGAAAAAAATAATTAAATTTTTTTTCTTCGATTTACAAATACTACTCAATTTTCTGTATCACCTGGTGAAATCAGAATGAAAAAAATCGCATTCAATATCATCCAAATCACGATCTGGACTTTTTTCACTGTTTGAGTGCTCTATATCGAGTCTCCGAGAGTTTCATATAAACTTGCTATGTGATTCCTATTGAATAGTAAGCAAATACCAATCGTGATTGAATCAATAGGCGTCATTTGGCTATTGCAAGGCGAGTTTATATGAATCTCTCGGAAAGTCGGTATAGTGCACTCAAAAAGTAAAAAACAACAGATTTTTTTCTCAATTCTTATACACAACTAAATGGTCTATTTTATTTGGTGTGATCAGAACGTAGAAATTTGCTTTCTCTATCACGCAAATCGTTGTCCAATGCTATCTCGCTAGTACTGCATGTATAATTGTTTACAACGGACGTTCTATTAACACACAACTCGCACTTATATTTTGCTGCGCAATAAAATTATTAACAATGTATTTGGTTATCGCTTTGAGTTTTGTGTCGACGATTTTTATTACGCAGCAATATATAAATGTGAGGTGTGTGTGAATAGAATGTCCATTGTAAACATTTATAGATGCAAGGGTGAGCGTGATAGCATGAGACAACGACTTGCCGTTTGCCAAGCATGATTTGGGTGAAAGAGATAGCAAAGTTTTCACAGCAAATGATATAGAGCATTTATTGGTGTTCGAGAACTTAGAAAAAAAAAAAGTTTTCTTTCACTTTTTGTGCTTTATACCGAGTCTCCGAGAGTTTCATATAAACTCGCCATGCAATAGCCAAATGACGCTTATTGATTCAATCACGATTGGTATTCGCTTACTATTCAATAGGTATCACATAGCAAGTTTATATGAAACTCTCGGAGACTCGGTATAGAGAACTCAAACAGTGAAAAAAGTCCAGATCGTGATTTAGATGATATGGAATGCGATTTTTTTCATTCTGATTTCACCAGGTGTTACAGAAAATTGAGTAGTATTTGTAAATCGAAGAAAAAAAAATTAATTATTTTTTTCATTTTTCGCGATTTTTTATACCATCTATATGGGAAGCTTGTATGAAAAACACGGAAGACCGCTGAAATGACACTGTCGTATCACATGCGTATAAAAAAAAAAAAAAAAAAAAAAAAAAAAACAATTTTTTCGGCGTGAAAACAAAATTCCGATTGTCTCAAGGAAAAAAAAACTATAAACAAAATCGAGAGCAAAAACACGACATATCCAGCCTGCGGGCAAAAACAAGTAATCGATATATTGTGTTTTTGCCCTCAGTTTTTTAAGTGATACAACTCAACAAAAGTGATAGTGGGTAAAGTGCTCCGACCGGCTCTTTTGAACCCAAATGAAAATGTACCGAACACACCGAAACCACTGAAAAACTTGAAATTACCACCAAACACACCGAATTCACAATTTTCACGCAATTCTTATGCCGGAGTTATTAAAAACAATCCGATTCATTCCGCAAAACGTCAACGTCTCGAAGATTCACCGAAATCTTTCGCACAGCCAAAAAATAATGTGAAATTCGATGCACCGACGCCCAAAATGGGAAAAAAATTAGCTTCAAATCGGCTGCATGTTATGGTAAAACCACAACGAAGTGAAAAACCGATATTCAACAAGGCAATTTGGGTTTCTGGGTTCGACCCAATTACCACAACCGATGAAATTATTGAATATATCGTGTCCGAAACATCGGTTAAGGAAAAATCGAAATTCAAAATGCACAAACTCGTGAAGAAGGACAAAGATTTGACCACATTGAAGTTTGTGTCATTCAAAATCGAAGTGAATGAAAGGGATTTTGACAGTTTGATGGATCCGGAAGTGTGGGAAGAAGATGTTCTTGTTCGTGAGTTCCTTCAGAACAAAACATTAGGCGATTTTTTCCCGGCATTGGATTCGAAATTCACACCACCGAACAAAGTCACCGACTCGTCGAACAAACAGGCAAAATCATCGAACAAAACAAAACGAACACCACCGTAAGTAAATTGACACCGCATCGAAAATAAACACAAAACTCCCCAGAAATAGTCTCGAAGTACATGAAATTGATAAAGGTGTTCCTGTTTATGCGTTACCATGGTCGTCGCCTGAAAAAGAACAGCCATCATCTATAGAAGAAATGGCCAATACAATGATTCCGCTAATAAAGAAAGTACAGCCGAATGGCCCTTGTGCTGTAGCTGGTTACTCGTCTGGGGGTATTCTAGCCTATGAAATAACAAATCAACTTATAAACAGTGGCTATCCTTTTGCGTTTACGGGTTTAATTGATACGTATCCTCCCTACGCCTCTGGTACAATTAATGAAACTGAGGTGTTTTTGACGTTTATCGCACTGAAATCTCCATTTTTTAAGTCATTGAATGATACAAAGTGGTGGGAGCGTGTCATTAAATTGCCTCTGAATGAAGCTATCGAAGAAGTTAAACAAAAGAATGTTGATTTGAAAAAGAAGATATCGATTGGGAAGGATTGATAATGAAACAACGAACTCACTACAAAACTATATGCGATGTATACGATATAAAGACACTACCGACTACAGTAAACCTATTCAAGGCAACGGAATTTGATCACTCACGTATTGGTAATGAGTACCTCGACAAAAATTTACATATATGGAATGATGATGTCAAGGAATTTTTTAATCGTCCAAAAATGGGATGGGAAGTTTACAATCTTCCAAGGTTGCACGTCGTTCCTGTAAATGGTACTCATTCCTCAATAATGGCAGATCGCAGAAATCGAACTTTATTGGGAAGAAAAATAGCTCAGTCACTTCTGTCATCTGAGATGACTATAAACTGAAACTACCTGAAGGAAAACACGTCGAAAATGTAATTGTAATTCTAGAAAGTTCACAGAGAATGAAAATGCAAAAACATCTGTATTCAATGAACATTGCCATTGTTAATTTGTAACTTAAGGGAGATTTTTCTTATTTCTTTTGGCTTGTACATTATTCTATGAAATTCATTTACGGCCGAAACTAATAACTAACTAATGAAGGCGGTAAATTAGATTTAATATAACTTACCGTTATGTTAAAAAAAAATTTTGTAAAAAATGTGTGCGTTACAAAATGTTTAGAATGTTATTTGTAAAATAAAGAAAGTTCATTTATTTGAATTCAATTTATTATAACTTGCAGCAGATTACCTTTTCATCACATAACTAATGACTAAAATCCCATAGAACTAATTCAACAGAGAAAAAGTTATTGGAAATGTCTAGCGAATTCTTTGTATTTTTTATAATGAACTCAATTTTCATTCATCAGCTATCTTTACAAATAGATTATAAAATGTTGTCATATAGACCATAAATCAAAAAGTAATATAATCATTTATTTCAAACTTTTCATGATATATTTCTTGGACAAAATTAGTAGTAGCATTGGGTAAATTTAGTTTGAAGAAAGGCCACATCACACAAACCCTCATTACAACCAGGTAAATGTACAATTTTATCGTTGAGGAAGAATTTAACTTGGTTGTGTTTGTAAAGAACAGCGACAAAATTGGATGCCATTGGATCTAACCTACTGATGTTCCATCTACGATCTGCTCTGCTTTCCTTATCATATTCTACGGTAAGTTCTTCGATGCCTTCAAATGCTCCCATTGCGGTCATGTGTAGCAGAATTGCTGCTGAATGCGTAAAGTATGTTGTAACTTTTGGTCCATCAGATATAGATAGATGTGTCATCATATCACGAACAGACAAACAGTGCGCTCTCCTATTCACTTCACCGCCAAATGGTGAACAATCTATAAAACGATATAGGTCATGTGAATATTCAAGCACCAGTAGTTCGTCTTTGGTAAACATCTGTAACGGACAACAACAGTTCAATTAAATTTGGACTCATTTGGAATGCGAAATATAATTGACACCAACCGAGCACCATACACTTTTTCCTCCCGGTGTCCATGTACCTTCGAATTGACATAAGCTGTGCATATCCAAGACGCGATCGATTCCAATATCGAATTGACCGTCATTGAAATTTAGTCGATTGCTTACATCTTCAACCACTTTCAAAAATGTATCTGTTTCAAAAAATCGCTCTAATAAGGCATTTCCGTGTTTATTCCTTTTTCTATATAACTCAATGTATGGCGGATAAGTAAATGCCTAGAGGTTTTTTTGAAAAAAATAGTTGAATATTTTGCAAGAACGACAATTTGTGGAACAGTACTGTAATTACCCTTATGATCTTGTTTTCTTCATCATTTGATACAGATAAAACATTGCTACGCCATTGACTTCCTACTATGGCATCGACGAATGCAGCAGCACTAACTTTAGTGCGTGGTTCGTCTGTACAAACTGCATTGAAATTGCTCTTATTGAACGGAACATTAAAAAGGATTGGAAATCTTGCTTTTAAATTTTCTGCTATCTTCTTAAGCTCTGCTTTTCCCTATAAAAAAGAGAACGGATCTTAACAACGATGAATTGAATTGACGTCATTTTGTACACAATAAGTTGCATACACTTTCAGTTATTACTCGATCTGCTTCGAATTGTGAATCCCATTTCCATTTTTTCAGCTTTTTCCAGTTATTTTCGGAAAGTGGACATTGTGTCACATTTTCAAGGTTTCTTATAATCTGTGCTCGCAACTGCAAAATTATTAATATTTTGTAAATTTAATTTGTTTTTTTTTTTAAATATATAAATGGCAATTCATACACCGTCTTCAAATGATTTGAATACATTTGTCTCGTGTGTTTGGCCTGTTCTCGATCCATGTCTAACAAACATCCATATTTTGATGGCATTTTTAGCTGTCAATGAATCAGACAATTAGATTCCACAATCCACATCGATATCATTTAATAGTTTTCAATTACCATTGAGTTCAGACGATTTGATGGTACGATTGGCAGCAAAGTACGGTTGTTTGGACGAAGAGTGTAACGCAGCAAACTGAAAGATATCCTCCATTTCTTCAGCAAAATGTTTTGGTTCACATTGAGCATAATTTCTACAATAAATTAGTAAACGAAAATTAATGCACGAAAATGAATGAGACATTCTTTGTGGAAATATTGCTCGTCAACAAATTGAATAAATTACTTACAGCTGACTTATTGCGATCGCGAATAGCGACAAAAATATAGCGCTCACAAATAAGACCATCCTTAATCGATCTTAAAGCATTTTTAATTGACACATTTTGCTAGGTCGATTGTGTATTTAAAATTCTCAGATTATGTGATTTGAAAAAGTTTTCGAGTATTATCTTTTTAAAAACACTATAATTTTATTAGGATTAAAATTTATATCAAAATATTCCAATCGAAACAACAACAAAAATTATGCACATTGATTTGGCGAGTGAGCATAAAGAAAAAACACTCAAACTATATGAAAGTCAACATCACATCTGCGAGTCAGTGGAAGTATGTTAGGAACGAACGACAATGAAATTTCATAACACAAGCCAATCCGGTTTGATTGAAGTAAATATTTTATTTGGCTACACCGACGTTTCGAATCAATTATGATTGTTCTTCGGGGTATTTCAATTAATATCGATTATGTCTATTATTATTATTTAATAATATTAGTATATTATTATTATGTGTATGAAATGATTTTTGATTAGTTATATCTATTCAAACTAATTTTCAAAACCGAAAAAATGAAAAGAAATAATCCAAGGCGTTGATAAAAAGAGGTAAGTAAAACTTGACGATCATATACATATCGAATAATAATAATAATTGATTCGAAACGTTGATTTATTCAAACGAAATATTTACCTCAGTCAGACCGGATTTGATTTATCGGCGGTCGATAGACATAAGAACGAAAACGTTGTTTACATATGTACCTTCTGTATATACTATATAGTCGCCAATCGAGTTTTTTGTTGTCCTTCCGTGTGAAGAGAGATAAAATTGAAAGACTACTCATTCGTGAGTATTATTTTTGTTACTCTTTTAACCGATTTTCATATGTATAAATACTGCAGTTCAGACACAAAATATATTGAGTACACAATTAGGGTGTTTCTCATATCTGAAAATAAAAAAATGGTAGTCGTTAATTAAAAGTGCAAAAAATTCTAAGACAAATCATGACATTTACACAAAGCATCGACTGATGGTCACGCTTCCCGAAGCAAAAAACTGTTTTCAAAATTGAATGTTACTTACAAAGAAAAAACGCCCCATTTGTACTCCTGCGCAGTCAACAACAACCAAATGGGGTGTCAACCTTTTGCTACGCTACTATCCCACATGGTCGGGATAGCCTTAATAACTAATGTTACAATTGTTTTTTTTTTGTTTGCGTTGTGCTGATTAGATAGCATGATCAGCTGGCTGCTGGTCGTACTCGAACATTTCTACATCATTATCTACGTTGGCGGCAGCAGCAGCAGCTGCTTCAGCGACATCAGCGGCTACTTCGGCGGCCTCAGCGACAGCATCGCGGGCTTTATATCTATTGATCGCATCCGGTATCGGAAGTCCTAGCAATGTCCATAGTCCTGAAAAATCAAACAAATGAATCTTCTTAAGCAATCATTCAATCGTAATTGTATCGTCAATTAGCCTTACCTTTCAGCAGAATGTTCTTAGCAGCCACGACGTCACGATGCCAAGTCACAGAGCATTCGAGGTTTAATTGCCAGTTTTTATAGTAACTTGTTACTTTTGACAATAAAGGCTCGTTTTCTTCCAATGCTTCGTTCATGGCGCGTTGCAACAATCGAAATTCCGATAGATCCTTCTTGCCCAACTTTGACACAATTTTTATTGGCAGCAATGTTCTGGCGTCGGGTATGCACCGGCATTTCTTGAATCTGGCCGATTTGGGCTGGTTTTGGAATCGCTTCATACATCTTGCGTCTGTTTGAGATGATCCCCATTCGTCCACCAGCTCTATGGCACAATCTCGACGTTTCTTTATTGACCTCAAAGTCAAACGAACCCCTGGACACCGCACGTGCTTTTTGATACTTATTCGGCTGTCAGGTGGTACTTCGCCATCAGCACCAAAAAGAAACAAAGTCGGCTGCTTATCGGTAACCTTTTCCACCCAATTGTCGACAACACTACTACTTTTGATGTGTTTGTCCAAGGCGAGTCGAGTGTACTTGGCAGTCGAGTAAGCGCAGATTCCATGCTTCATCATCTTGATTCGGTGCTTGATGTAGTCCAGCCAATGTGACCCTTTTGGTGATGGCATCACCGGGTACAGCTCACGGTTCTCTCTGTCTCGGCGCTCCTCTTCGGTAAACTTTTTGGTCCAACGCTTTGCTTTGGCATTTCGCACGTTTTGGCCTGTTTTCCAGTGAAACTGCTTACTCGACATTACGAAGTTAGTCTGAAAATAAATAAATGAATAGTTATTGAATTTTAGCACTTACGCGGTCTATCTTCCATTGATACATATACAACATAAATGTAAAAACTTACTTCGGTGCCAGTTATAATGTTGTGTGTCACTGTGGTGTTCCAACTTTTCAAGCCTGTATCAACGCCTGCAAAATTTTCGAATTTGCCATCCAAAATCATTTCAACGATGCGAGAACGGTCGTATTCTGTGCTATTCGTCTTCTTTTTGGCCGAGTATTGCAGAGACACAGCGATTCCATCGGTGTTTATGGAAAAATCAAACTTCTTTTTTCCACGCACGAATCGCCGAATTTTCCGCATGTAGAAATACTGATTCCACCAATGATCACGCGCAGCGTTGAAATCCTTTTGTGGAAGAATTACCATGCTTGTTGTTCCGTTTTTGTTTTCAACTTCCACTTTCGGTAGCAATTCTTGCGAAGACAACACTTGGTGCATGCTTGAACAATCGATTTTGTAGTGCTTTCGGCGAAAATCACACATCGGCACCACTACTAAATTCCGGATGAATGGCCGAAAGTTTGGATCGTCGAGCATTTGTTTGCGCTTGGGGCGACGCTTTGACTTTTTGCGCTTTCTTTTCTTTCGTTTGGATCGGTGCTGATATGGCCACTCCAAGTTGTACTCTTCTATCTCGCGTTGCATAGATAGGAACATTGGCATGGCCTTAAACCAATGTTTTTCGTCAGTCGTGAGGTCATGCAGATCGATTTCTGGAAACACATTCAGGTCGTTCACCATGTCATACAAAAAGCCACACCGTTCGAGTTTGTTTGGATCGTGAATTGGCACTCTGATGTTTTTTTCTTTGATGATCAGTTTTACAACACTTTCGATGTCACTTTGCAAAAATTTCTCTGCGTCCTCTTCTCCGTCTGTGTTCAATTCGAACACTTTTAGTCTCAAGTACTGGGTGATCTTTTTGTCAGGATGCGTTGTTGAGTTGGTGACGACGTTGTCTGTGTATTGATTGGTGATATGCTTTAGGCCATTGCTGAAATCATTGTTGTTGGGCCAATCGATACCATGATAGTCGTCAAGACCTAAAAATAAAATATGTTTTTCAAATTCAACTAAATTGTGTACTGTGTAGTCAAAACTCGCTATTTTATAAGGAGGTTTAATTGTTTAATAAATCAACTATTTTTATTTATTACCTTCGACAATTGCTTTGAATTCAGGGTCGATAGGTGGCAGCTCTGGTCGTGGTCCTCGTGGCTTTTTTCCTCGTGGTCTGTACGTCGACTTTTTCGGTTTCGGTGGCTGATTGTTTTGCCATAGCACTTGGTTAAAGCAGAGTTGGATCTTTTTTTCTCCACTTCCACCAAAGAATGCGAAATCATTATTCTCAAGGCCTATGCTCGTACGCCTTTTGCACCTCGAACAAGAACAGTAATGAGCCCAAAAAGGAAATTGAAGTGGCTTGCAAACTCAGGTCCGTTATTTTGCTCATCAATGCTTGCTGGAATTGTGGGCGAATGATTGTCTTCAGCGCACATTTGATCGTCGTAATCTCATCCTTCGTTTCTCCCTTCGCTGGTATGGATGGCTTGAAGCGATTCGCCATTTTCCTATTGAAAAAAAAAACACACACATTCGATTTAGTTTGAAAACGAATTTGTATTGAATTTTCATTGATCCATATAATTTAAAAGTGACGACTTTTCACATCAAACAATGTTCGATCGAAAAAAAGTATATAAAAAAATATATACATTGAAAAAAAAAATGTGCACCAGCACTGAAATAAAAGCATTCACATGTAATTTGAAAATATCAACCGAATGCACAGATGCAAAACATACTATCAAAGTGAAAAATCCTTTTAACCAATCCACACAAATATTCACATATATTTCGAATTCAATTTGATCGAACGACAACAAAACACGAATCTATCGCTTTTTTTGGTACACACACAAAGTGATGCAACACAGAAAAATGACAAAAATCGTCGGATTGATAACAATGGCAGTGATTTAGAGAGAAAAAAAACATTTAAACACATTTCTTTGATAAGCGAGTTATTGTTTCTCTTCTCTAAACAATGGAACCAATTCAAAATGGCTATCACTGCTTGAAATGAATTTCACCACCTCACGCAACAGAATTATGTACTGCAGAATAATTGTGAAATACATTACTTTTTTCATAAAATGTAATGTTACTGTTAATATGTTCAACGTTAAATAATTATTGGACTAGTTTAAATATATTTCACGTTACAAATGGCTTATATGTCGTGCTATGAAATAAGAATGAATTTCACAATAAGAAGGATATGAATAACTGCATAGAATAAGCAAGTAATTCAAATTTTGAATAAATCGTGTATTCGCTGGCAATTTCTCATCAAAAATAATAATTTTTACCGATGAATTCACCAATATTTTTCACTTTAATTTTCACTGTAAATTAAGTTTACTCACGGTGATTTGAATTCAACAATCTGCTTGGACTCCGGATCAATCGATCGATCAAGTGTTGAACAATTCGGAATAAATTGATACAAAACACACGTATATCGAAAATAATATGAATTATTAACAAAATCGTAGAATAATTGAAACGTTGAATTGGAATTAACACTGCTGTACTTTATGTCGTAAACTTCCTATTCACAAAGCCGAACGTGTTCTCGGTATAAGTGAAGCGGCGATTATGACATTACGAAAACCAATGAAATGAACGTCAAATGTCATAGGGCTCGGTTCACATCAATAATGCTAATTCAATATTTTGACATTAGACACATTTTGCTATAAAAAATTTTTTGCTTCGGGAAGTGCCAATATCATTCGATGCTTTGTATAAATGTCATGATTTGTCTTAGAATTTTTTGCACTTTTAATTAACGACTACCATTTTTTTATTTTTTGACTACGGAAACACTCTAGTACACATAGAGAAAAAGTGCGGTATATTTAATTCAATTTTGTTAGATTTAATAAAAAATCAACAAACAACGAATTAGATTTACCATTTTTGAGATCGAAAAAGACTATTTATTCTACAATGAATACATTTTTGTATAATTTGGGATGAATTCGGTTGAACTCAACTTGAAAGCAAAAAACAGTTCCAAAACATAATTTTTTCTATTGTAAATTATACAATTTCGGTATTTAACCCGATCATTTTAGGGTGTACTCATGACAGACAGAGTGATATGGCATGTGTGAATGGAACGTAGAATGATCAATAATAAAAACATGGACAAATAATGGATTGAAATAGAATTTTCTACCGATTTATTTATTCAAATTCCAAAGCCTACATTGCCAAGCAGAGCATGTCTTCAATATATTACAAGAAAATTTTTCCTTGGGGAACGTTTGTTCCGGATTATTTATTTATTTATTCACCGTCTGATCACAGACTGAATTTATCACACAATTTATACAATATCGTTCACAATGGAACACCACCCGATCGAATATCCAGCTACCAGCCTTTTCGACT